TTGGAGGTCGGCTCCCCCTCTGACTTCCTGTGCGATCTCCAGCAAGGCGCTTCTGCCTGAGCCTCAAACAGTGGGAACAAGAGATCCACTGCCCCCTGGGGTGCCAAGCTGTGCACTGGGCCTTGTGTTCCCTGGGCCATCTTATCTGCACACTAACCCCGGGGAAGCTGGGGCTCAGAGAGACAGGATCTGCTCCACCTCACACAGCCGGGGGGCCGGTCTAGGGGAGAGGGGCGCTGAGATAGACCCAGGCCCTGTATCCTTAGGCCGGCCCCGGGGAGGGCAGCCTCCTCCTGGGCCGCTGACAGTGTCCTGTGCGCAGCAGGCTCTCGCCGGTGATTATTTTGTCTTCGTTCTGGGTGGGCTGGGTCCCCGCCCCTCTGGCCCGCAAGGCCAGCTGACCCCACCTGCGTTCAGACTGTTCAGACCCCTCTGGCCCTGCTTCCTTCTCACCCGCCCCAAGGAGGCGCCACAGGTGAATCCTCCCTTTGCGCCAATAAGCAGGATTGGGCCTGGCGGCTTCTGGAGTCCACCAGGATAAGACAAGGGGTCCTGCTTCTGGAGTTGGGGTCTCTGTTCCTGCCTGTCCCTCCCCCACCCCCACCCATGGTCCCTGAATCCCAGGGACTCACATCTTGCTCTCTCTGCTCCATCTCAGAGGCTGCCATCTGGAGCTGGCCCAGACCTGGTGTGGCCTGTATACTGTTTAAACATTTAGTAAACCAGTTGCCAAAATTAAAAAGTGGGAAAATTTCACATAAGAACCGCATTTCCAGCTGCACCCCCCTCCCCCACCACCGCTACATTCGGGTAGCACAGCCTTAGCAGCAACTGACTGGAGTCGAGAATGTGATGCCCCTGCAGGGGGCTGGAGCGGCCCCCTCCCTGGCCTTCTCACTGATGTCACTGTCACTCCCACAGGGCCATGAGGGACCACTGCAAAGTCCCGTGCACTGTATCAGATTGATCTAGGGGCTTTGGGAAACTGAGGACACACCCAGGCTGGTATATCAGCATCTCGGGAGTGAGACCAAGGCCCCCACAGGTGATTCTGGAGAGCAGCAAGGTTGAGAACCGGCAGAGCACCCATCCTGAGCCGAAGGGCTCCGCTTGCAGGTCGCTTTGCCGTAGCTCCCGAAGCCTGTGAGCCCTGGTTTCCCGTCTGTGGCCCCCAGCAAGAGCCCCACCACGTGACAGCCCAGCCCCATCCTGGACTTGCTCAGAAGAAGGACCTTCTGTTCCTTTGTCTGAGGACTTCCCAGGAAGCCCCGGACACTTCGCTTTGCTGACTGTGATGCCCAGCGTCGGAGGCCCAAACCCCAGCCTTAGAGAGAGGGCCAAGTGTGAGCAGGGGCGGCAAGGCCCAGGGCTGACGGCTCCACTCCGAGGAAGATTCACTCCTATATATGGGCACCCAGAGTCCCATCGCTGAGCTGACGCGTGACCTAATGTGCTGACAATCTTGCCCAGTCTGGGGCCCAGCTTGGGGCAGAGGGGCTGGGAAGAGGCAAACCAGTGGGTTGGAGGCAGGGCAAGGGCAAGTTGACCCAGGCACGGGACAGCAGAAGGGTGGCCGCAAGTCCCCCACTTCCCACTCGGCCCCAGAATCTGTGAAAGTGTCCAGCTCCCTACTGACGCTCTGTGTAAACAAGGAAAGCCACGAGCCTCTCTCGCTTTTAAAGTCCTTTTAATTCAGCATGAAAAGACTATGCTTCTTTCTCTAGGCAAGCCGTATACAGGATCTCCAGAAATAAGGCACACACGGAATGCCATCCCAAGGGTGACCTTCGGAGAGAGAGGTCGGGAGCTTTCCACGCACCCTCCGAGCTGGGCCCACGGGTCTTTTGTCTTTTTAGCTGGACACACACGCATTAACGGATACAGACATGGACAGGTCACCCCACGGGAGTGCAGGAGGTCAACGGTGAGGTTGGCAGCAGAGAGCAGCAAGCCTGCCGCCACCAGCTCCCGGGGGCACCTCCCACACTTCAGGGTTAGTTGTCGCACTGGGCTACAATGTAGTGACGTTGGGTTAAATATTCATTTAGAATAGATTCAAGTCTATTAGACGTTGGATGGCAGGCGAGGGCTCTGGTGGACAAATCCAAGTTCAAAGAGCCTGGGGCCCCGAGGCATGGCTCAGATGGCAGACGCAGAGGGGTGCGAAGACCAGACGACCTCGGTTCCTCGCTCCCTACTTGGGCCCTGCTGACCGGGGCCCCTTCTCCAGGCCAAGGCCGTCCTTGGAGCTGGCTGGCCACAGGGGGGCTAGGTAGTACATGCCCCTTCGTCCCCTGGCCTACCTCCTTGCCCCTACACAACTAATAACCATAGTAACAAGATAGTAATAAGAAGGTGCGAGAGAATGGATTACAATGCTGTTTGTTACCCTCAGCTGAAGAGGCTCAAAGGGGTCACCAATCCCTTTTCACTACGTCTAACAATAGCTTCCCTTCAAAGAGGCAATACTTTCCAAATACACACATGTATAAATACAAGGCAGAAACATATTAATAAGTCTAAGCACTTGAATAATATGCTGGCTACTTAATACTGATATATTCTTCCAAGGAAAACAACACAGAATAGTAATAATATGGCTTAAAGAATTGCAAAGGTTTTTTTTCTTCTGTGTCAGAATTATGTACCAACTTCATATAATATTCTATGTAGACAATATTTCCATCTTAATGTAGTTCAGTTGCATACTTTTTACAGACCAAAGTATAGTAGAAAACAAAAAAATCAAACAAACAAAAAAAAACCCCAAAAGAGAAAAGTTCTCACCATAAATATTTTCTTGCAGCTCAACAAGGTTTGCAAAATACTTCCAGAAATTCTGTTTGATAATCTATTGCCCTCCCGAAAGCTCTGAAGTTCTGAAAATGCCTCTTTTTGTTTGCTTTTTAATCTCAAAAATCAAACCATTATATTTTTCTTTTTTCTTCTTCTTCTTCTTCTTTTTTTTTTTTTTAAAAAAAGGCCTTCAAATATATACAGACAAAAGTCACTGTGAGGATTTTTCAGAAGAAGGTAACGAATTCAGTGTTGTGAGAGTAATCGGTAACCATGCAGAAATTTTAACATCTATGATCTTTTTTTCAAAATACACAAATAGTATTTTTCTTTAAAAAAAAAAAAAAAAAAAA